TGCTTAAGAATTATTTTCATTACATCCCCAATAAATAACTCATTCAGATTATACTATAGGAAAAAATATGAAGTTTAAAATAAAAATAGTGAAGTGAACATGCATTTTTCACAGCTGGCTGAAAAAAACCCTAAGCATAATATGATTGCTCCAAATTATAATTAAGATTTTTACTCTTACATACTTGGCAAGACAAGAGTTTGTTTAAAAGATTAATAGAAAACGAAGTCCGCAGGAAGTGATGATTAGGAGCTAAATTGTGGTTTTGCTTTACATTAGTTATTTAGGCATACATTTTGGGGTATTCTTTCTCATGCTTACCACTTTCAAAAAAAATCAATAAAAGCCATGTGAAAATATCTAAACGAACACAGGGGAAATAGTGTCAGAAATCAATACTTCTCAACCAGCATGTTTAACCTGCTGGAATGAAGTGTTAATCACAGAAATAAGATACCACATTACATTTATAAACTAATGAAACTAGAAAAAGCAAAGCGTGTGACACTATAATTAAACAGCTGGACGACATCCAAGCCTGTGTAAGTTGATAACCCTGGTACAATCTCTGGCAGTGAAAAGGCAGGTCTGCAGTGAGTTGATATGGCCAGCTCAGTTGTTAATTGAATAACAGGCAATCTATAAACAGTACTAATTGCATATGTGAAAACCTGTGTACGAGTACAGAAGCTGCCTAGAGAAGCACTCCAGAAAAACTACATGGATAAAATGCTCAGCAAATCTTCTGTCTTCCTCAATCCAGTGAAGTCATAGCTTAGTCTCACCACTGCATCCCTCTGATTAACCTCAACACAGCACACTTAATGATACATTTTTCAAAAGATCGTTTTTCTTCCTAACTCAATACGAACCACAGAACTATCAATTACCCATTTCAGAAAAGAACAAACAAGTAATCTAGAAAATTCAGCCTGTGAATGGAGAGCTTTCTAAATTGTAAAAGAAGACATGGTCTTATTCCCAACAGGCAAAATGCTTTTCAGAATTGTTCTGACGCATTTTGCAGAAGTGTGGCAGCTGCTGTGAACAGCATGGAGTGTTAAGATTTGACACTTTTTTTTTAAATCTCTCTCTTAAGGATATAGCCATTTGAGGAGGCTCAGAAACTGTTGTCAGAATTTTACTTACCCATTTAATAAATCCATTCAGAGTGACTATTTCAACCCTGGTTAATGCAAAACATTTCAAAACTATTGCTGTAGGATCAAAATCAAACTTTATTTTGTAACTCTGTGGAAAAGACTGATTGATTGGTCCAAGGGATTCATTATGCAATTTGAAATCTCTTGTTTAACACTCAACTCCAAATAAGGCCAATAGCAAAGGTCACTATCATTCTAAAGATGTCTAGCAGCTTCCATGAAATGAATTGATAGACTTCAACCACTCCCATGGAATCCAGAACTACTAGTCAGAGTACCATGCAGTATTTAGATGAACATATTGGAACTAGTCTTACTTTACATCATGCCTCCAACAGTAGGTACAGGTAAGAAGCTTAATGTCACTGGGCCTCACATTCTTCAACTATTGCAAGAAATCAAAATAAACCTCAAAAGGCTGCTATAAGAAATCAAAAGGACATTGCCAATATGATTGCTTAGCAGAGTGTCTAGCGTAAGAGATACTCAATAATGGTAGAGGTTTTTTTTTTTAAATAAAGCACATAAAAGTAATTTAAATTTGTGTAGCAATAGCCTATAGTTGACTAAATTCAGCTCCTGAAGCTGAATTTCTCTTTCATATTTCATTAGTACTGAAGAGAATATCAGGTTCCACTAAAATTTCATGGAACAAAGCACAAATGTCAATGTCTTCACTTCCCTTTTAGATATACTTTAGCTAACTGACAGTATTTATCAAGACCAAGTACAATCCCTCAAATAGGCCTTCAGTCAACTAGAAATAAGAATGGAAGCATTTTAAAAGCTTAAGTTTCTAAGTAAGAAAGACATGATAGATGGTGCACACGGGAAATATGTGCAGTCTGTGACAGCAGTCACCTCTGCTTTTACCCTGGATATTGATTTTACCCTGGAGGACTTTATACTCTCAAGATGGCCACCAGGAGAAAGGCCTGATGTGTAATGTTTAGGTATTAATTTCAACCACTTTTACCAAACATCAGAATTAACAATAACTCTTGGTTAGTTTCACCAATTCCCTGACTACCAAAAGGTTTGCTATTTGAAAAGGACTTTATGGATCAACAGGCATTGCCAAATCTTCTGTATAGAAAGAAAACTCAGAAGGTGATCCAGTCTCTGTCAGAGCCCAAGGCTCACTTCACTGGTGGAGCTCCCCACCCACAGTATGGACACAATGGCCTTCTGAAAACCACACTGCCTCCGGTACATCCAGCCTCTCAGCAGCATAAGCAGTTAGATTTCTCATCCATACTGCATTTGAACTTTAAGATTTTGGAAACTGTCAACATAGAGCTCTCTGCTCTCAAATTAATTTTATGTTTGTTCCAACAATCTAAACTTCCTGATCTTAAGGCAGAGATATAAACCTGATTTTAACAAAGATTATATCCAGCTAAATGTGAAACAAAGCAGGACTCATTATCAATAAGAAATGCATTGAAAGGTAATCATACCCAGATGTTGAACTCCTCTTAGATTTCAAAAAGGAAAATAAAGCTTGAAGTTCAAATAACAATGTGCCTTGAGTACTTACATGGATAAATATAAATAAGGCATGACTATTTCCCAGAAAACTATGTGTGAGTATAAATACTATGCAGATTTCAGTTATATTTATTTAATATTATCATAAATATCCATAATATTTATATTATTATAAATATCGCATAAAATTATACCTATTACTTTAAATTAGAATTAACTAAGAATATATGACATGGATAATCAATTAAACTAAGACAGTAACCTCAACCATATCTTAAAGCATTTTGTTTGGTTTGTAAATATGTGATCATACAATGGGAAAACAATCCTTTAGGGTAAAAGGGCTCGTAGAAGTAAATGATTTGCATCAAGACAAAAATAGTGCTTGTGTGCCCTTCACTGAAACCAACATTATAAGAAGATTGCAGACACTAATAGATGAGGGCTACTTTTCAAACTTGTTTGTTTTAATATGGAAAGATTTTCAAACTGCTAACAGTATTAAAAATCCTGAAAGTATGGTAACTCAAAATAATATGTCAGTTGGATAACAAACTTCACAGCTTTAAAAAAAAGATTGCTTACCCTCAAGAAACTCCAAGTAAAAACACATCTTAGACTATGACCTACAATATTGTAGCAATATCTACTAGCAATATGGCCACTGCACCCTGGGAGGACAAAGGATACGTGGTTCCTAAAGTATAAATGTGTTGCTAAGATAAGGATTTGGCACAAAGAGTATCCCAGAACAAGGCCTCTCTGGAAACAAGGCATGATTTGGAAGTGTTAAATAATACAATGATTATGCCATTGAACACATGGAAAGGGAATAGATAAAATACCAACCTGCAAAGATAATTGTGAAAAACTTTAAATTCCATGCAAAAGAGTTAAGAATTTTTCCTAAAGTCAACTCAGGAGTTACTGTTGTGCAGCAAAGTGATTATCAAAATTGTGTTTTAGAAAGTGCGTTCTGATGGAAAACAGGGTGAGGATAGAGACTTGACAGAGGGAGACCAGTTAGGGGCCAATGTAGTAACTGTTCAGATAAGAAATGATATAGGTTTGAGCCAGGTAATAAAGTGGGAAGGGATTTGCCTAGTATTCAAAGTGGTCATAGATCCGAACTAGACTAGAAATAGAAAGAGAAAGGAACACCAAAGAAAAATATTACATTTGCACCTTGGATGACAAGGCAGACAGTGAGGTGAGGAACTGAGGTAGCAAATACAGAAGGGTAATGCTAGCAAACATCTGGAACTATCCTGTACAAAAAAGGTATTTCATTACACAAGTTCTTTGCAGAAAATGCTATGACATCCAAGTTAAAAAAAGAATTGGAAAGAAGTAAGCTATGGCTTTTCTGTCCTTTCCATGTAGTAACAGATTGCTATGGTTTGCTCTCAAGGTTTATGTGTTGGAAGCTTAGTCACCATTGTAACAGTATTGAATAGTGGTAGCACTTATAAAAAGTGGACCTAGTGGAAGATGGTGCTATCATGACCACCTTCATAAGGGGATTAATGCTGATCTCCTAACCCAGTAGTAAAATAGCTCCTAAGACCAAGTTGCTATAAAAAGCAAGCCTGACCTTCTATTGTCTTGCTTTCCCCTCTTTTCTTCCTCCCACTCTCTTAAATGCACTTTCACTATGTAATGCTCTCCCCCATGTTGTGGCCCTTCCCAGAGGTCAGACAGGGATAACTGATCTTGGCCTTTTTGTTTCCAAAACTGTGAGCTAAGTAAACCTCCTTTCTTTACAAAAATACCCAGTCTCAAGTATTTTATCAGAGTAACACAAAACAGACTTCAGACCAGGAAGTGTCTTAGAATATAATATATACTTCTATCTCCACATTTTTTTCTCAATTATTTGTTACAGATGTCCTGTATTTATAAATTAAACCCTCCCAAACTGCAAAGCTAAACAGGGATGAAATCATTTCATATTCTTCTCAAAGTGCATGAGTGTTTTAAAGATTGCATGTGTCACTCTAACCTTGGCATTAGAAATGATCAGAAACAGACTGCATGAGTTTCATGTGGATGCAGAAAGCCAAGAGGAAAAATCAAAGTATGTTCTATGCATGTACAGAGACACCACAACGAAACCCCTCTGCACAATTCATATATGCTGATAAAGAAAAAAAGAAAGGAAAAGCAATTTCTTTCTATCATGTTGTATTTTGGTCCTAATAATCTTCTAGAAGAACTCTCATAAGAGTTATAGTGGGCCAAGGTGTGAAGATAAGTCAACCCAGAGGCAAGGCAGCTTCACTGAGAGCTGGACAGGTTTTGGAGATGGCAAAGAGGGGATGAGCTGAATTGGAATGTGACTATTACCTTCAACATCACAGCTCAGGTAGTTACGCACTTCATTCAGAATGAAGTTGATATCTTCTTCTGAAGGAATGGGATGTGGTGTGATATCCGTTGGACTATCAGTGGTGCCAGCAATTGTCATCTTTTGCCAGGGTAAGAAGAAAATAACTCGCCCATCACTGGTTGCTGGATCAAGAAGTCCCATGCTCTCCGGGCTGGAGTAAAAAGAAATTTATTTCTGAAGCTAGCAGAAATATCATATTAATCTGTATACTAAAAAGTAATTTTATTTATTAATGCTCAAAAAAGTAAAAGAAGAAAGACCTGAACTATTACTTGTACTGTCTCTACCCTAGTCTAGAAATTTCTGAAAGAAAAAAACATAATTTTGGTAACAAAAAAGAAAGAAGCAAATGTGATAATATATTATTCTGCTGCAGAACCACCCTCTCCACCCCAACAATGCAAGGTTAATTAGCTTCCAATTGTTTTGGTTTTTATACTCCCGGACCATTCACATCAGATAATGTCACTGGGATAAATGCCTATAATTTCTTTTATTATGGTCAATTAAGAATAGCTCTTTAACCTTTTTTTGAGTCTGTGAAAAGTATTTTCCTAGGACATTTGACATTTGGCACATCTTTCAGTAGAAGGTCTCAGAAATACATGAGAAAATGAAGAGTCTAACTTTCTTGAAACTAAAATGTAATCAAAAAATTCTTTTCTCCTTTGTGCCTAGATGAACTTGTGGTACTTCACCAAATATAAGATTTCTTACTTTATTTCAAGGTTATAGAAATCTCAAGAAGCAAATGTAGAAAAAAAGATTTCAGTTTTCTCCTAAATAACAATGTCCTAGTACAGCTCAACAAGAGAGTAATACCATAGCAATGAAAATTTTTAAATAAAGGACACTGTGTGTTACATTACTAAATCAAGGTGCAAAGCAGCCTTTTTTGAAAAATATATAAAATCTTCCCAACTATAAGCCAAGGAGTTTTCTTTGATACATACTGAATAATCAAAAAAAATTAGGAAACACATTTGAAAGGGAATAGCCAACCACAAATAAACATTAACAAAACCCATTAGATTATGACTAGAAACTAATGTTTTAATGCATTCATTAGCCATTCAAAGGCATTTGCAGAAGTTGTTAAGGGGGTAGAAAGAAACTGAAAGCATTCTAGTAGTACACTGCAATTTTTCAGGTGCTTCAATTTCACTGAATTCTCATGTAAAGTCAGTGTTAAAGGTATTTTCTGGAAATACATTTTTAGCTTCTATTAATGTGATTTCATAAAAAAGAAAAAATGCTATTTGAAGATTTCAAGAAATCACTCTCACACACACACAAATTTAAAAGGGTACAGAGACAACTTTATGTGTTTTTCATTCCCTTAAAATTTTCCAAAAGAGTTCTTTAAATGTGTCAGGATGAGAGGGATAATAACTGCTTAAAAGCAAACCAAAAATATTTTTATATATTTATTTAAAAGAAATCTACAGTCATCTTACCTAGTGCATCTCCTTTATTACACCACAGGGAACGCACTACTCAGCCCTTCCCATTCTTGAGGAGTGGCGCCATTCTTCTGCTTTGCAAATCCAAAAGGCACCAGGAAGCATGACAGTCATTTAGACTTTGGCTAGGGTTCTCATCCTCACTCAGGGTTATTTAGAGGAAACAACTCTATTTTCACTCTAATATACTGGAAATCATCAATATTGAGTATATTTGGTCTCTAAATATGATTATAAACTCTCTTTGTCACAAAACTCGAAAACTCTTAAACTAGTTAATCATGGGTTTTGTATGTACTTTTCTGACTACATATTGATATGCCTTTAGATTAAATCAGTTACTTTGGGACTGGAAATTAACACATTCAAAGTCCAAACATACAGTTTGCTAAACAATACTTTATTGAAAAATGGATGAATTTCCAATTTTATTGTTTGTGAAATAAATTATATGTTGATATATCTTATATACAGCTATCTCATGCACTTGTGATATGCCTCACATAATAACATAATAAACTTAAACATAAAATTATAATATTCAGCAACCTGAGTATAAAATGTAGTTGGAAAAGTACAACTACTGAATCCTTTGAAAATTTTCAGCACAATAAAAGTTGTTTAAAGGGTGAAGGTGACGCTTACCAACACACACATAACTGAAACCTGTAGAGAATCAACTGCTTAAGTAAAGACATATGTGTCAAACATGAAATTAACAAGCACAGAGGGAAGACAAAGCTGTTAATGAAAGTTATAAAAATTTAAGAATCCACTTGGAAATATCCTTCATCAGTTCTAAATTACCTAATTCATACTCTCCCTCAGGGAAATATTTGTTTTCTTATGAAGGATTAATTCTGCAAAGTTGCACTGAAGTTTGATAATGGATATCAGCTACAGCGATGCTATGTGCAGTGCAGTGAGGCACAGGTCTCTTTTCAATCTGTGTGATTCATTTGACATCAGGAGGAAAAGCTTGCTAATTTATGTGTGTGTCTAGGATTAAAGGTAATGAACATTTTTCTCATGCAGACCATTGCTTTCCAGACGTATCCTTAGTTAAGCTGAAATCAATTTATTGTTAACTACTTAGCGATCAGTGTTAGAACTAACAGTATGTACACACATTATAGAAAGAGATTGACCTCTTGTCACTGTAAAAAGCATCAGTAGGTTAGAACAAGGACGTGACTATTTTCATTCATTCATTTGATTCATTTCATTTATTTGATATATTATTGTTGCTTTTGGATGAGCCCTAGCCACAATTTGGATAGAAATTCCAAACTGGTTCTTAATATAAACCAAACAGTAGATTAGTGAAAATGATTTCTGTGTATTGGATTTTCTAAAGTTAAAACAATTCCTTCTGCCTCCTCCCCACCCAAAATGCTGCCACATAACTTAAGATAATTCCAACTGTGGACCATGAGCCAGGTCATAACCAACTTAACAGATACCATTTCTGAAAATAGCCCAACAAAATAGATGGCACGTGCATAGGTGGCTTATGTCTGTTGTCCTAGCCACGTGGGAGGCTGAGATCTGTAGGATCCCAATTGTGATTCAAGGCCAGCCCAGGCAAATTTTGTCAGACTCCATCTCCAAAATAACCAGATCAAAATGGACTGGAGGGATGCCTCAAGTGGTAAAGGGCCTGCTTTGCAAGTGGGAAGCCCTCAGTTCAAACCCAAGTCCCACCAAAAAGAAAAAAAAAAGATGGATGGCATGCATCTTTTTCACTTATTAGTAAATGCACTTTTCATTTATTACCCTATATTCAATAAACCAATGGCCACTAAGCGCACTGCATTCACAAACAAATCAGGTTTAACAGAAACAAATCTGACCAGCCAGTGGTAGGGCATCCCCAGAAGATCTAATCCAGCTCTGGTTCATCCCTGAAGACTTGGCCAAAGCCCTTGAGTTACAACTGCTAAATTTCACTGACTGATGAAATAAGATTCTAAGGTCTCCTGTACCCATCCAAGAGAATGATTTGATATGAAAGAAAGACCATTCCCAAGGGATGCAAGGGCTACAATTGCTTCAAGTGAGTGCTAGAAGTGGAAAACAACCCTGACTCCAGGCTTCAATCTACATTCAAGGAGTTCAACTGCACCAGAGCCTGAGCTGTAGTCAGGCTGCTGCTGGCCACTGCTTCAAAACCATGCACAGTGATTGTAGTTCACAGTGCTAAAAATGGGGTACTAATTTCTCTCAAAGTATAAGGAGATCATTTACTGCATTTTAGACTGAAAGAGACCTACCTGTGGCTAACTCTTGCATGATTTATGGGGAGGTGGCCTGAAGCGAATGCTGAATTTTTAGGTTTGAAAAAGGGCATTTTGTGTGGTATTTATACACAATGGAATTTTACTCAGCCATGAAGAAAAATGAAATCTTATCATTCGCAAGTAGATGGATAGAACTGGAGAACATCATTCTGAGCGAGGTTAGCCAGGCTCAGAAGACCAAAAATCATAAGTTCTTCCTCATATTCGGTCTTTAGATCTAGGGCAAATAAAGCAATGTGATCGGACTTTGGTCACATGATAAGGTGAGAGCACACGGGAGCTATGGGGATAGGTAAGAAACCCAAAAAACATTATAGTATTTGAGGTCCTCACTGCAGAGGAACTAATACAGAAACTTTAAAGTGACAGAAGTCAATATGAGAAGGGGATCAGGAACTAGAGAAAAGGTCAGTTGGAGATAAATCAATTTAGAAAGTAACACGTTTGTACATGGAAGCAATGCTAGGAATCTCCCTGTATAGCTATCCTTATCTCAACTAGCAAAAAAGCTTTGTCTTTCTTATTATTGTTTATACTCTCTCTTCAACAAAATTAGAGATAAGGGCAGAACAGTTTCTGCCTGGAAGCGAGGGGGGGCAAAGGGAGAGGGAGGAGGCAGGAGGGAGAAATGGCCCAAACAATGTATGCACATATGAATAAATGAGAAAAAAAATAAATAAGGGCATTTTGTTTTGAAAATATTATATCTATGTGATATGTTTCTTATTAGAAATCTGTGTGTGCTATCGTAAAGTATACAAAGCATGTCACAGAACAGTATCTGTAGTATGATCACTTTCAAGCAAAATTTTTAACAGGATACATATTTCTGCAAGTGAAATCATAAAGCTTTATGGAAGGAACTGGAAAGAAGGTTAGTGATTATTAGAAAATGACTGGGGAAACAAGAGGGAGGCTTTACTATTATTCTCTCTCTTTTTTTTTTAATCTTTACATAGTAGCTGAAGTCTTACTTCTCTCTATTGGGTTATCGGGCATTAAGATGAAGAATTGTATTTTCTTTTTATATTTTAAATTTTCTATATTTACAAAATCCTTTACAAATGTTTTGTGTATATATATATCTATCTATATATATATAGATAGATATATATAATTCAAGATAATTATTTTACAAAGAGAAAGAGTTTCCCAGTTCATGACTGGCTGACCCACTGCAGGGGGTGAGGTATCACATCATGACATAAGCAAGTGACAGAGCAAAACTGCTCACCACATGGCCAAGACTCAAAAGGATAGAGACAGCAGGAACCAGGTCCCACAATCCCCTTCAAGGGCATGTTGCCTCATGACTTCAAGACCTTGTACTAGGCCTCACTTCCTAAAGTTTTCACCATCATCAAACTGGGGACCAAAACTTTAACACATAGGCTTTGGGGGACTATTTTAGTATTTTAATATAAAATAATCTCCTATATCGCCAGTATTCAGGAGGCTGAGGCAAGAGGATCATGAGCTCAAGGGCAGCTGGGCTACAGAGTGACACTCTATCTCCAAAAAAGAAAAAACAGTGTTGCAAAATCTCAATAAATGTAAGGATAGGGTATGTATATACATGATAATTACATCTGTAGTGTCATCAGCTATACCACAATAGAGTAGCATTCTAGAGCAGTGCAGGTGTTTTAAAAAAAATGTTTCTGGATATCTATCTTATTTATCAAATACTAAAAGACTTTATGAAAAATTATTAAAACATAGAAAGAAATGTCTTACCTATAATCATATTACCTGGAGATAATCATCATTAATTAACATTTAACAGATTTCCCAGTATTTTTGTTTATATGGAAAAATAAACAGAAATATATCATGTAGACCCTACTGTACAAATGACCTGAATTTTAAACTAACATAGTATCATTAGTGTTTTTCCAGGACACTAAAGTTATTTACAGCTATCATTTTCAATGATATTCCCTTTATATATATGCCATAATTTATTTATTCCTCCAGGATGAAGAGCTGAAGTAGTTTCTAACCTTTCTCAACAACGAATAATATCAAAATGAATACTTGTGCAAGTAAGTCATTAGCTCACGTACAATTATTAGTTTCCTACTAGATTAAAAACATGCAGAAATAAAAACACTATGTATGTCCCATACTGTTAGCAAAGCTGTATGGATTTTTTTTTCACAGATTTCTTAAAATGTATATTAGGGGTAACTGTTATTAACAATTTGGCAAGAAATGCATAAATGTTTTTGATAAATTAAAAATTTTCAAACATATAAAACAGTAAAAGATTTTTATGATCTCCCATGCACCCATCACCCAGCTGAAGTGGTTTTCAATTCATAGCTATTCTTTTTTTTTCTCCTTTTAACATAGTGGGATTTGAACTCAAGGCTTTATGCTTGCTAGGCAGGTGCTCTACCTCTTGAGCCACTCTGCCAGTCCTCATAGCTATCCTTATTTCATTCCTGCTTAAGTCTTCATTCTTACTTATCTTTTTTCAATTTGATACACTGGAAATTATACCTGATTTTTCTTGCTATCACATCCTTAAAAACATATTTCCAAAGTTATAAACCTAAGAATATCTAAGTGGCTCACATTTTAGATTATTCATAAGCAAATATGAATATTTTGCAAAATCAAAATTTTAATGATTTAATTAAAATCATCCTTTATGGAAAATTTTGCCAAAACTTTAATGTTTTATTAAAAGAATGATTCAAAAATACTAATACTTCATCTCTAAAGGTAACTACAAACAACAAAATACAGTGTTAAAAAAAAATAGACAGGTCCCATATCATTAACTCTTATGCCATAGTGGTTAAAAACTTCCATTGTCTGGATTGCATTTTGTTTTGGAGGAGTTCCTTTAGTTATTTCTGCTCATTCTGAATAGCAAGTTAGAGCACCTATTATTAAGAAGAGTGTGCTAGAAATAATTAAGTGCATAGACAGGACTTGTGTCCCTCTTTCTCGGGCAATGACCACCAAGACAGAACACTGTTACCTGTAGTAACCGGGCATGACAATATGGACCCCAGCACTCGGCTGGCAGATAGCCGTGGCGTCCTTATCATCCATTTTGCGCACAGAGTCTGTGAAAGGTCCCGTCGCATTGATAACACATTTGGCTCTCACATCAAATTCCTGCCCTGTGAAAGAAAGCAGCATCAATCACACAGCCCATTTGTTTCTCTGTTCACTGATGCTGTGGATTATTAATGCATCTATTAACTTAACCTATGGAGAAGTATATTGCATACCACACTAAGTGACATGAGCAGCCAGAGTTATTGAAGAGCCAAACAAAAGGCTCACTCCTGAGTAAATTTACCAAAAACGAGTCCAAATTAAAGGGGACAAAAGCATGCCACTTTCTTCTCTGTGGCTCTCAGTCTATTTATAAAGTGCCCACGATTAAGGTGCCCAACATAAAGAAAGTGGAATGAGTAAATACGCCGTTTTCTCCTTAAAACACAAATGCGTAAACAGCGTTGCAGTGAGAAACATGTATCTCCTAGTGCTGGTTTTATTTATGAAACCGTGTAATTTTGCAACTGCCTACATGGCCAAGGACCAGGGCCAGAATGAAAACCTCACCAAGGTTAAAAGTGATTGACTTTAATGACATGTAAATGACTGCCATGTCACCTAAGTCATACTTTGAAATCTGGCACATTTATTTAATTTTATTAATAATATGTTTTTGCACAGAAAATGGAATGCATTCATAGCTATGGGGAGTTTTGTAGGCATTTATTATTAGCCTTATCATTATTATTATTCAACACAAAGGGGAAAATTTGCCAAGTCCCACAAGTGAATATTTTCATGTTAAACCAGTCATTGTTGACAATAAAGAATATAATTAATATGACTCTGAAGTCTGGCTTAAATGAAAGAAAAGTGACAGAAAAATTATAATTCAGTCGTTATATAAGCAGGGCAAAATGCTCAGAAAGACCTCCCCCCAGACACTTGGCATACCTGTAAGGACATCCTTGCACCGTGCACCACTCACACACTCTTTCCCTGTTTGGGGGTCTGTCTTCTTGAGCAAGCTCACTACCTCCATGTAATTGGCTGTGGCAGCCCCATACCTGGCAGCAGTGAGGGCAATGGCAAGGTTCATCCGTGCATCATTGTGTTGTCCTGCAGCAGGGAGAAGCATCAGGGGATGGACAGGAGTCACCTCGAGCCACAGACTGGTGGTACAGAAGTGTGTCACAACAGATATGTCACATCTGTCCCTGTCACCCAGAATATCCATGATGGCTAGATAGCTCTATAAGGCATGATTTGAAAATACATGGTCATTCTCAGCCAAGCATCATTTACCTGCCACTTCAGCAAGAGCACTTTGTGTACCAGGAAAATGGCAATACATATATAAAGTCTTTCAGATAACAGGGCTGACATAATTATCTGAAAGTTAAGGAAGAAGTAATTATTCTTTCCATTTGGGAACATATGTATGTCAGACTTTTCCTAATACAGAAAACCATAAGCCTGAAAGTGAAGCAATTCAAAACTTCAGAATATTTGACACCCCAACTGGTGTTGATGAACAAATTTTTATGGTTATGTGCTCTATCTAATATTCAAAATCAAGAGCTTAATCTTCCATGGAGAATCTCTCAGTATTCCATAAAAGGACTTTTCTTGGTTTGAATTTTGATCAGGGCTCCTTAAAATGTAACATTTTTTTAATTGCACATAAAAGGTAAGAAATTAAGCAGGGCAAAATTTAATTACAGAACAATTCCTACCTGCATTGTTAAAGATTTATTGCTGAAAAAATCCTAGTTAAAGAAAACTAAGGGGGAGGAGAAAGGGGGAAGATGATTAATCACTTTAAAATACTGGCATCACTGGAGACTTTTTCTATTTATTATTGCCAGTGGAGTTAACGCTGACCAGGAAGAATTACTCTACATTGCAGGGGCCAGGTTCTCTGTGCCCTGAATAATTAATTATCCAGGGCTAGATGTATTGAAGCAGAGTTCAAATTCCCACACGTTGCAATCAGTTCTATCAAGATAATACTGATAAAGGGATGAATTTGTAATGGATATTGTTGTTGATTTATGTTGCCAGCATACCAAACATTTGGTATAAATGGTTTATGTAAAGTTTCTTCCTTGTGATTCAGTCTGTGCAGGGCTAGAAGCACTACACAAGTCATCTGTTCCAGCTAAAAGGGCAAAGTTATAGAGAGAGAATCAATGACTGGAGATCTGTCACCCCTCCCTACAAACATCTTATTCTAAAACACTGAGCTAATACCATCAGCCAAGAACACATCCCCCCCCAAAAATTATGTGCACTATCAAGTGGAGAATATATAATTAAACCTCAACATGCACACTTTTTATTATTTTGGGATTATTTCAGTCAAAAATTTATCATTTATTGCCCCCAAATATATTATCCTGGATTTATAATATCCAAAAAATTAATAAATTGAAAGTAGCAGAAGAAAGAAAACCACAATGACAGCACAGCAGTTGAGCTATAGGTTGGAAGGAAGGGCAACAATTTATCTATCCATTTCAACTCAGCATGACCCTTAAAGCTTAAAATAGTTTGTATTACTAAAAGTCAAGTTTAAGAAACCAACTTTTATGAATGTAGGGCTTCTTATTTAAAATCAGAATATGTAACACAAAGTTAAATGCACGCAGCCCAGAGAGACTAAATGAAAATCCCACTATAGGTTTTCTTTTTAGGCTGAGGACACTACACAGTATTCATCCTACCCAATCTTTCTGGTGGATGTAACTGTCTAAAGATGAAGCACCCTCACCAGCAGATGTAAGCATTTGGTAGCACAATAAGTCCAAGTCATGTTTATTCCTACCATGAGCATAAACACATCTTTTGGGTGTGTTGATTAAAAAAATACAGGACAAGTCTCTAGAAAGTCATGTGTGAATGAACAGATTTAAATCCTTGTTCCAAGGAAGCAAGCATAAATTCCACTGATTAAGTGACAGATTCCTTTGTACAGTGACCTATCTATTATGCAATCATCTGACTGTAAGCTGGTTTTGATAACATAGAGGTTTCTTCTCATATATTAACAAATATGAAATCTCATTACAGCATCAGTGTATTACATATGTACAGCTTACATTGGAGTATCAGTGCAGTTCATCAATTTCTGTTGCTTCCATGCTAAGGACTGTCTCCCTAATTAGCTTCTAAATCCCAATACAATTTAAGGTAAAGAAGATCAGTCACAGTTAAAGACGTGAGGTGGAAACACATGCCTTTGGTCCTTGTTCTTCCACATCCGTCCCTTGTATACAGCAGTACCTGCCTGGCTTGAATAAGAAATGTCACTTATTGACAAGTCCCTTCAGGTATGATCCTCCTCCATCACAATTCTTCTAGCCCCATTGTTCTTACTATCTAGGATTGCCAAATTATTTGCATCTCTTTGAATGTGCAAGCTATTTCACAAATGCTTGTCTTTGGCTCACTTATTCTTCTGGCTGGGTACCACTCTGGAAGCTCTAGAAAATCACTCTTCATCTCTAATGAGCTGGTTCAAGTATCTCCTCATGAAGTCTCCCCCAAGGTAAAAGTGTTCACTCCTTCTCCTAGGTCAGCATTCTGTCTTCCACATATCTTTTCATAGTCTTTCTGATACTATTTTCATCTACTTACAAAAATAATAAGCCTTTGTTATAAGTAGAGCACTGTGAAAAATGTAGGGAATATAATGATGAGAAAGATAGAGGGCAGTGTCTACCCTGCTGGAATTCTCCTCCCACCATAATTACTGTGTGATTCCCATGTTGCAGGAAGCCTGTTACTCATATTCGTTCTTTCTTTTCTTCTTTTCTTTTCTTTCTTTCCTTCTTCCTCCTCCTCCTCTTCCCTGCCCCCCCCCCTTCTTTCTCTGCCTTTCTCTCTCAAGTACCAGGCACAGAATAGGTATTCTGTAAGTATTGAATTTAACTAACTTATATTCTGTATTTTAAATAAACACATATTCAAAGCCTTATCTCTAACTTCAGAATGTCGCATCTCTTGCTAAAGAAATTTCAGCTACCAGTAAGTTGAGAGGAGAAGAGAGATCCCAGAATAGTATAAGATCTGAATGTAACCCCAAAACTGCCCTTGTATTTATGTGGCATAAGTGGGAAGAGGAGGTGAAATGGTTATGAATGATTCTCTCAGATCTTATGTCACCATTGCCCTTTTGCTCCGCAGGAAAATGCAAACATAGCTAAAAACCGAGGACCAAGTAATTAACTTCCCCCTGGAGGTCACACCTCCACCCAGCAATCCTCTTCTGTCCAGACATTAGCCTCTGTTGATATGCCTACTTGGATTCAGGGCAAACCTCCTCCTGTATCCACTTTAAATTTGCCCTCACCCTGAGAGATGCCTGCAGTGTATGCTTCCTGGGGTGTATTCTTAACTAAATCTCCCCAACCCCCTTTCTTGACATTTTGAAAGGTATCTCCATGCCTCCTGTAATTTTATTTCTGGAGAGAAAAGTTTCTGACAACACTACATATCACTGGAATGTGATACAATCATCTCAAATCCCCACCCAATTGATCTGCTCATGAAGTTTAGATTTTCAAATCTGCTTCCTTAGAGCTAGGCAACATTATACTGTGTTTCGCTGATCAGCGAGTAGCTTTACCTTGGCACTTACACAAGGACCCAGACGGCGACTGGGAAAATCTGTTTCCTGCTCTGTTCTCGTTTGCACTTGAAATCTTACATATGTGCGCATACTGAGCTTACAACTCAGAGGAGAGGAAGCAAATAAGAGGTGGAACTATAACTGTTTTCTCTTGTTTAGAACAACAAAATATGAAATCTACCCACCCACCCGAAAGAATAAAGGTTGCTGGTGGCAGAGATTCTGTCCTAACTCCCAACAGCCTTACACATAGAAGAGTAAGAGGAACTTTAAGCCAAAAAAGCATGACCACACATATTGTAGGGTGTAACCATCTAAAAGATAAGCCTTATCTATAAATATTTTGGAGACAAAGCAATATTGCTCTCCTTGAATCAAAGTTTGGCAAGTTAATGTACAAAATTGCTGGGAAAAAAAGAAATAATCATTGAATGTGTAAAGGGTATGAACAATGAATAAATATGAAAAATGAAAAAGACAGGTAATAAATTTTCCTGGTCCTTCAGGTCTAAAATTGTGTGATATTGTGAAATTCTACATACAATTTTCCTTTTAATAGCAATGTACTTTTAAGTGATCCTTCACTATACACAGACCTCTATATGTACAACCTACCTATCTTATACTTACCTAGCAGTATACAAAGTCTAACTACTTAAAAAAAAAGGTTTTCATTAAAATAACACCTGTGCATAGTTTCATTACCAACACAAACTGCAACTTTGCAATGTTGAGAATATTTCCTCTGTTCCCCTGTGCCCAGATGTGGGTCTCATGCCACCACTCTAACTACTTCTACCAAGGGGAGAAAGGATGTGTTCAAGAAAGAACACCTTCCTACAGCTTTTATCCATTTCTAACAAACTCCACAAAACACACTTCATTGTCTTAGTCTGCATGTCACAGTGACCTCTCTGGCAGCTTCCCTTTTGCAGTCTGGCACAGGTAATTTGAAGGCTAATCTATGAAATCCAAGCTAATGTAATATAACCATTATATATTTAAATTTTCTCTTTCTGATGAGAAGAGTGCAGGAAGAAGCAGAACAAAATAGGTGTGTGCATACACATGTACATCAGAGGATTATTAAATTCTGCTTTAAGTACAAGTCATATGTAAACTTGAAAAGAAAAGCTAGCAATAAAAGTTTTCAAGGTGAATTATGACAACATACCATTTCCAAAAGTAAATCATTTATAAAAGTATTTATTTTGCTAGAATGGTGGAGGTCAGGGAGCACATGGGGCACTGCTGAGAGAACAGACCTTACAAAGCACTGGGCAGAGTGGTTCTGGGTTTGAAACACCTGCGTTGTAACTTCTGAGTGTGTCACTAATGTGGCTAGAGCCTGTGAATGAAGAGCTCCCCTCCTCTGGACATCTGTGTCCTACATGAAAAGAGGAGCTGGTTACCTTTGAAATCAGACAGTGCACATAATGCCAGTCTTCAAGAGTTACCTATCCCTTTGCAGATTTCACTTAACTTT